AAATATTTAAAAATTAACTAATATTTATTTTTATAAAATTTAATTTAAAAATCTCAACATATAAATATATTTTTAAAATCAATTATATCATGGTGTAAAATTTAAGAAATTTCAATTTGACTTATCTAAACAAAATATTTTAAGAATGATAGAAATTTAAATCAAAGTAATTCAAATATCAAGAATTTAAAAATCCTTGAATTTATAAAATTCTTCATCCAAACACACCATAAAGGAAGGGGTTAGTAGGTTAACCCTCATTAGTCTCATTTTGACATTTTTGAAGGGGTAAGAGAAAGAGTAAGGAAAAGTAAAAGCTTTGAGTATGAGTGCTTAGGAAGAGATCAGGAATGACTTTCACTACACCAGGAATATTCCAATTAACACAATCAGGTACAAGGGAAAATGAGATCTTTATATGCAGAGTTACATGAGGGAATAGGTAGGGGAAGAGTTCCCTAGGATTTTTAGAAATTTTATATGTTTTTTGTTTGGATATTTAGTAATTTCAATAAGTTCTATGTGGGTTTTTGGCCATATTTTTTATATTGATTGTTGGAAAAGGATACAAGGGATGTGAGACAAAATGGTTTTGAAATGTGTCTGTAGGCTAGGGTTCAGAGAAATTGGGATCAGAATGATGCATGTTTTTGGATAATTATTGTATGTTGTTGTATTTTTGAGTAAGTATGATATGACCGATTAAAATGTAAAAAGGGTGATTGTATGATGAATATGGGGTTGGGTACGTGTTGTTCGTGTTTTCTGGGTTGTAGAAACTAATGATGGTGTCATGCCTAGTTCCTAGCACCAAGCGTACATTCATAGGATGAATGTAAATTTCTAGAATATTTACATCGGGCGAAATTAAGATTTCATCATGCACAATTCCTTAAAGAGGTCTCTGTCAGACTTGAACATCGGATGTGATCTCCTAGTACCGAGCGTAAGCGAGAGCAAGAGCTCTCGAGTTGAGTCTCATTGGGAAAAATTAGAATTTCGTCGAGTGTGAGCAAGAGCAGGAGCTCTCGGGTTGAGTCTCGTCAAGCAAAAACAGAATTTTGCCGAGCATGAGCGAGAACAGGAGCTCTCGGGTTGAGCCACGCCGAGCAAAATTGTAATTCTGTCGGGCGCAAGTCTGAATGGATATTATGGATTTATGATGTGTTTGCTGATTATTTTATGGGTTAATACGTGTGTTTTGGTGAATGTTGGATGTGATGTAAACTAGTTGTGAATTGCGAGATATGTGTATGATTCTTTTGGTTCATGTGGAATTGTTGGTTCGTGTATGAGATATTGGATTGAATTGTGAATGTGGTGTGGTGCTTTGGCATAGTCGTATGTGTGACATGGTACTAGATGTATAATGTATCGATACGTTTGTGTGCATGATACGATGCTAGTAATGGAATGCATTGACACAGTCATGTGCGTGACACAATGCTGGACGTGTGATGCGTCATCATGGGCATGTGTGTGATACGATGTTGGATGTGTGGCACAATGTATATATGATTTGTGATGAGATAGTGGGATGGGTTGATTTAGAGTTGATGATGTTAAGCATGTTTGAATGATAGATATTGTGTTTGCATATTATATTAAATTGAGATTGGTTCATGGGAATTTTCTACTGTGTTTTTTATATAGATATCTTCTTTTCTCATTGTACATTTTGTGGTTGTTTTTAAGTGAGGAAGATCCGGACATGAGTGGTATTCAAGGTGCCATTAGCTAAGTCATGGGATTGCTCTGATAATATGACATCGGGACAAGGGATTTTAGAACGTTGATTTCATTGTTATTGGAGTTTATACTCCTTTATTAATTAAATTTATGAACTTATATTTTATAAATATTTGTTTTTAATTATTTGGATATTGAAAGTATTTTAATTGTGAACCATTTTATACTCCTTTGTTAATTATTTGGACTTGAATCTAGACTTTGATATATTGGAAGAGAAGCTTGTTGCTATTACTAACTCAAGTAGTGAAAAAGAGAAATTTCATTATAAAACTGAAAGTGCTATTGAATTTATGGGATTAGTGGAAGAATGCTCTCAAACAACTGATAAGTCTCTTGCTAGGACACTAATAAGTACACTGACCACCATGACATTTGATAGTTCACTTATTATCCTTAAGCATGTCATTAAGATGAAAAAGATTGCAACAAGACTTAAGTCCTTGGGAATGATTATGAATGAGAACTTTCTTATACAACTTATTCTTAACTCATTACCAATTAAGTATGGCCCATTTCAAATGAGGTATAATACCATGAGAAAATGGAATGTGCATGAATTGCACAATATAAGAGGAAACAAAGCTTAAAAATCAATGCAATCACTCAATTCATTATGTAAGTCACCAAATGAATCAATGAGCTAAAAATAAATTTGTAAAGAAACATGATAAAGGCACGGGGCCATTAAAAATTAATTAGACATTTGCACAAATCCATAAGAAAGTATCAAAGAGTAATAATTACCATTTTTGTGGTAAATATGGACACTTACAAAAGAATTGTCAAAAACGTAAGGCGTGGTTTGAAAAAAAATGTAAATTTAATGCGTATATATGTTTTGAATCAAATTTAACTAAAGTACCCCATAATACATGGTAGATTGTAGGCATGGCAATAGGTCGGGTACAGGTTTCATGATACATGTTCTCGTGGTTCAAACACATCCTTATCCCCATCCCCATCCCTGTACCCGTTGGGTATATAATTTTCGTCTCATCCTCGTCTCTGTCGGGTATCGGGTATACATATACCCGTACCTGTATTTGTCAAAAATTAATTAATTTTTTATTTGCAAAAAAAAAACACATAGCATTTTTAACTTATCTTTTTATTATATTACAATTGTAATTGAGTTGTTTGTCTATCTCATATTTTAATAAAGAGACTTCTTAATAATTAAAAAAACCACAAATATTTCACATCATAATAAACAATCACACATAATTAAATATTAAAATTCTTTAAAACAAACAAATCGGGGACAAGGACGGGGACGAGTATTAAACCAGGGATGGGGACGAGGATAGGACAGGTCAGTATATACCCATTCCTGTCCCCGTCCCCGATTTAATATTTCGAGTTTTACCCATACTTGTACCCAGTTAAACCTGGTATTCTCCATCAAAGTCAGAATGGATTCAGATATTACCCACGGGTACGAGTTTATTTGTCATCCCTAGTAGATTGATTATGAATGTACAACTCATGTTTCTTTTGTACAATGTAGGGATTCATCATAACCCAAACCATAAGTCCAAATGAGAAGTTCATCTTCATAAAGAATAAAGTGAAAGCTGCAGTGGAAGCAATAACAACTTATTGTTTAATCTTTGACACTAGACATCACTTAGATTTATTGGGAAGTCTTTATGTGCCCAGTTTATTTAGGAATTCGGATTATCAAAATTTGATGTTATTGGATGCTCTTTTAATTTTGGTAATGAAATTTTCAGTTTATTTAAAAACTAATCATCTAATTGATATTGGTGTTCTTTGTGGTAGTTTATTTAAATTGAATTTATATGGTTTGTATGCTAGAAACCTCTTAACTTTGCATCATAACATTTGCACTATACATAGTTTAATAAATGGATGTTATGCTTTTTTATGGCATAAATGTTTGGGTCAAATTTCTAGCGAAAAAATGGAAATATAAATTAAGAATGAAATTATTTCAAATCTAGATTTTCATATCTAAATATTTGTATGGATTGTATTAAAGAAAAACAAAACAAAACACACAAAAAAATGAGCTACTAGAAGCATTCAATTTCTTGAAATTGTACATACCATATACGTGGATCTTTTGATGTCAATTTTTTCACAAAGGAAAAATATTTCATTATAAATGACTATTCTCATTGTAGTTATGTCTATTTACTAGATGAGAAATCTCAAGTAGTAGATTCTTTGGAATTTTATTTGAATGAAGTAGAAAGACAATTAAACAGAAAGGTGAAAGTTGTTAGGTTTGATAGAAGTGGTGAGTATACTAAAGATATAATGAAACTAGACAACATCAAGGTCTATTCACTACACACCTTTAGAGATGTGTCATTTGAGCACAAAAAATAATGTCAAGTACACTACAACAAAATGGGTGTATCACAAAGACGTAATAGAATATTAATGGATATAATTAGTAATATGTTAAGTAATTCACCTTTATTCATGTACTTGGGGATGTATGCCTTTCAAATTGTCATGTATTTGTTAAACAAGATTCTTGGTAAGGCAAATTTAAAGGCACCTTTTGAACTATGGATTAGTAGGACACCTAGTTTAAGTCACCTGTATATTTGGGGTTGCCAAGCAAAAATAAGAATTTATAATCCACTAGGAAAGAAATTTGATACAAGAACAATTAGTGGATATTTCATTGGTTATCTAGAAAAATGAAAGGGATGTGTGTTTTATTGTCCTAATTGTAGTATGAGAATTATTAAAATTGAAAATGGTGAAATCAATGGGAGTACAATTTCACAAGAAGTGACAGTTAATGAAGTTAGAGTGCAAGTTTCTTTGACTTATACATCTAACAATAAAATGAGTGTTACTCTAATTGTTGTGTCAAAAAACTGTGAAAAATAGCAACACAATAATGAATTCATTATTCAAAATAAAGTTATTATAGAAGAACCGTAAGAAGTAACATTAAGGAGGTCTCAAAGAGAAAAGAGACTAATTATTTTGAACTATATGATATATCTACATGAGTTAGAAACTTACTTAAGCATTAATGATTATGATATAGTTTCATTTTCACAAGCTATAAGTTATCATAATTCTGAAAAGTGGTTAAATGTCATAAAAGAATAATTAAAATCCATGGAACAAAATGGTGTTTGGGACCTTGTAATAAAAAATATCACCTTATCTTGATCCACATCTTGTTAAAATACTCAAATATCATGTAAAGCTTGGTAAATGCTTAATGAAGATTGTAGAAGATTTGCATAACCCAAAAATGAGAATGGAGGTGTATTCAGGGAAAAAAAGAATCACATCATTCTGTATTATTATAAAATGATTGACATTATAACTATGTTATCTCAATTTTAAATTTCATTTAAGAAAACATCTATCTAACAAAATAGTGTTCCTAGCTATATGAAGCCAGTGCTTCCAAATGGATTGTTATTATGTGGGTGAGAAACAGGAAATGCCCCGTATCCTGCATCCCCAAAGGGATTTGCTGGGTTCATCACCATATGTTGCTGCAGTGGCTGATATGGACCAAAGGGATTTACTTGCTGCTGAGGAGGAATGTTACTTGATAAAGCAAAAGGGTCTTGCACTTCAAATGGATTTTTGGCATATACCGCTTGCTGTGCAGATCTGTATGTTCCTTCATCATATAAGCTGTTAAGGGTGAGGGAATCCAATCCACCAGCCTGATATTCAATGATAAACACAGATGAAGCTAAAGTCACAAATGTTACTCAATTTAATTAAACAATCTAACATGTCAATAACCTAACAATTAACTCATGATTTTGTTTAACAACCATAAAAATAAGTGTTAATATGTCCACAAGGAAAGGAAACACCCGCAAATCACTTGATGGAACAAAGTGTGTTACTTATCAATATGACATGATATTAACTATTAAGCAGTACCAAGACAGTAGATCTTAACAACACCTTAACAACAGATAAAACCAAGTGTAACCTGATAAAATAATGTTATACAATAAAAGATAAACAGTAGATGTAGACCTAAACAATCTTAGTTAGCATTGATAAATAAAATATAGCGCTTAGTTCTTGCAGGTAATGCATATTTATGTCTCTCTCTCTCTTAAAACAGAACTACAAATCCTACACATCGCAAATGTAAGCAGTGCAGTGTACACTGCATTATAGTATACTTCGTATATGACCCACGGCAAATAATTTCCTGTAAATGTCATTTTCAATAATCCAAACTGTTGAATCATGAGACAACTAAAAACATGTTTGGAACTAAGTCAAATTAACTTTGATCCACGTCCTAGAGAAGCAAATTTTAGTAACTTTTGCATCTTTTATCAATTTTAACGTGATTTTTGGGTCTAATGCACATTAAAAAATCCACTCCAAAGGTGCTAAGTTGATCAACATAAATGCTAGCTTTTTTGAAAAAAATGAATATTCGACAGTATAAAATTCAAAATTCTAAACAGTAGTTTCAAAATCATATGACGCATAAGTTTCAAAGGAAAAGGATACTGATTGAAAAATTAACTTGAATGAATGAAAAAATGTAGGCAACCAGAAAATCATATATAGTCGTTGAAGAGTACTAGAAAAGCTATATTACAACTTGCATACAGAACAAGCTAACTAACCTACCGAAAGTGTAAGTGACAGGTCAGTTACAACCAAAACAGAGTACTACACATGAACATGATACCAACAGACTATTCATACAAACCAAATATTGAAACCGAAGACAGCAAAATAAAGAGTAAAACCCTATACTCTAATACAAACCAACAAAAAAAATATTTAAAATATAAAATTTCCTGAGTGTGGTTTATAATATCATCAGCTGTTTAATCCAACAACTGAATTTAGCAAATGCTGCTTATCAATTGCATAACTTTGAACTTACACTGATTATTTCTGAGAAATAAATTGTTTTTAAAGCTTTCATAGGAAGCTAGTAAAAAGTAAGCTGAACCACACACGCACTGAAAACGTTAGAAGGACCTACCAATTGTCTCTCGTTGACTGAAGAAATATTGGTACTTGGAATGGAGACCAAGGCAAGCTCCCATCCAGTTGGATCAAAATCTTTGGCCTGGGAAGCACTTGAATCTAAAGCACAAAACAGTCATGTATGAGAAACCATCTAGCAAACCTCACTAAATTTCAGAATGTTGAAAGCTGAGAAACAAAAACTCACCAGTTTCATTGGGGACTATGGCTAGAGCAAGGGCATTTCTTTCTTCTATCAAGGATACATCAGGTGTACTGTCATTCAATCCCTGCTACCAGGACAAAAAATGAAGATAGTAGAAAAAAATAATCTGACATAACTGAACCTAGGATCAATGTTTCACCAGTAAATCTCCAGTTTCAAAATTGTTGTCAGACAGTGGAGGAGGAGAAGCAGGCTCGGAATTTGAGACAACATCATCAACAGGCACTGATGGCTCCCCTTCAGATAATTTCTTATCTTCAATTGTAGGAACATCTTCTTGTCTGTAAGTCAATTGTAACTGTTGATACAGAAGATTAGTGATTTAGCCAAATCCAAAAGCTAAAAGTAAAAATAATGCATTGATGTCTAGATAATACTACCTCCATTCCTATATATAAGAAACAAGTAGTTAATTCATCAATACCAATAAAAGTAGTTCAATTAGTTAATTGTAATTAACAATACCATAATTTGAAATTTTATTCTAAAAATACCCTTAGAATTAAATAGTATAGGTGGTAGTTATATTTAATAATACTACTCAAAAGTCAAATATAATTTTTCAACCAATGAGCATGAGTGGTAGTTGCCCAATAAATGTATTCACTTTCATGGAAAATGAGTAGAAAACTCATCAATAAACTCACAATAAATTAAGGGTATAAAAAACAATTACCAATTAATACATTTAGAAGTATACATGTTTCTTATAATTAGGACCAAAATAAAACTCTTGCTTGTTTCTCATATATAAGAACAGAAGTAGTACCAAACTATCAATTAAAATAAAAACAAACATAATAATAAAAAAATTGTGACAATTATTCTTTTACAAACAAATAATTATGGACTCACCAATGCCTCACTTGGAATTGTAACCACACTCGGTGCCTCCTTTACGTAGTCTTCCATGGTTTCAAGAAATGATTGTGGGGGCTAAAAAACATCAAAATGTAAGCAATGAGAAGAAATTAAAAATGAAACAGAAAACTTGTTACACCAAATTGATGCAACAACGTAGACACGTACCTCTCTTAAAACAGGAAAATGAAAATTCCTAGCAAGTTCCAACCCTTTGCATATTTCATAGAAATCAGAGAGACTTGCTGCCTGCAACCACTCAGGCATCTCAATACAAGCATCAAGAAAATATATTGCTAAAGTCTAGGGAGCCTACAAATAATCACCTGCTGACCCGCACGTTTATAGACATCAATGGCTTTGATAGCTTCATGTCTTGGCATCTCAAAAAACTACAAGGAAATCAAGAAACTATCTCTTACCAATTTTGCACAAAGATTTTATTCAAACCTGATAATGTAGCATAGGTAACATGTTCATTTACCTTATCAACAAGATTGATAATGCCGTCATTAATAGCACAATAAATTTTAAAGCTCTCTTTCAGAACCTAAAATAATTATAAGAACCGGATCAATAACAGCACTAATCAATTTAAAAAGCCAATCATATATGAATTTTGAAAAAAATATATAACTTGAATATAAATGAACAAATGGTACAAAAGAAAAATATATGACACTTTACCACTCAGGAGGGTGATCAGTTAAATTATAGAAATTTACAACTACCAAATGAGGGATAATTACAAAAAAAATTGTTAACATGATTGTTGTCCCCTTCCTAAAACAATGTATTAGATGAAGACGATAGAAAATCATTCTAACATTACCAAGGATCCAACACGGAGAAGAATTTTATCAGTCCCACTAAATTTTAAGGAAGTGGTAGATAGTCTAGATATGTGAATGTTCATTGGTCAATGCTTGAGTTCCACAGCCTAACAATTTAGTTTTACATTGTTGTAACCCACTTAAACAGAAACAAAAGAGGAAGTGTTTCACAACTTATAAGATCAATTGATCAACCAAATTAAGTTTCAGTCAACTGCAAAATAATCTATCATAATTTCCCATAGGCAGCCAAGCAAGTGCCATGTAAGATTACCAACAGGAATCTATCAGAAATATGACAAATTTGAAGAATGCTTTTACATATATAAACTAATTTTTTCCAACCTATCTGAAATTCGAAATGAATAGCTTGGCACAATACATACCAGAGCCAGAGCATATTGTATCAAATAGTTACTATTGGATGCTCCTTCTGGCTGAAAAGTTGCAGTACAATGTTAGCAATTATTTAAAAAAACATATAATTGATACAGCAATATTTGGAAGAGAGGAGAGGAAGATACAAAAAAAGAAAAAGACAATGAATATCCACAAGTTCCAGAATGTTACACGACAACCAACAAGTCGATAAAGTAGCTGCTGCAAAGCAGGCAATTGCTCCAATAGCTCCTCACTATTCAAATCCCTGGTCCTGCTGTACCCCTGCTTGGCAGAAAAAAACATGAAAAATGTTGTGAATAATATCATGATATTTAGTACTTATTGTATAGATACACAATATCTTATTTAGGGTAAACAAAATATTTCCTAATCATGTGTATTGAATGAATTGAGCACATATATAAAGCTGTTCTCTGAGGCACACGATGTCAGCTCATCTTTTATGCCTCTGCTCTTTACTCTCAACATGGTATTTAGAGCCTCAGAAGTACACCCTTTTGACAGTATCTACCCAGCAGACCCACTGTTTCCCATGAACAAATTTTTTGGCAAACCATGTTCATCTCTACTAAGCCTCAGGAGTTCCCCTCTCTCACTCCTCATCGTTTGACCCTGTACTGGCGAATTTTTCCATGGCTACAGCTGGCTAGCTGGCTTTCCACATCCTACTAAGCCTGATGCTCCAATTTTCTCTCACTTTCTGTTATCTATTGAGAAATTGGATGGCTCTAATTATTTGACACAGGCTTCCGAAATTCCTACATCACCCTATGTAGCAGTTTGGGGTACCAAGATCACCTCACAAGTAGAGCTGAATTTGTTGTAGCGACTAACCAAGCACATTGTGACAAAATTGATGCCCAAATATGCAATGCTATCAAGAACACTCTCCACACCTCCATCAAACCGATTTTTCGGCCCAATATCAATCGTGAATTGGTTTGAGAAGCGGCACATGCTCTAATTCTAAATATTATTACTAAATAATATTATTGATACTAATTTACTAAATACTAGTATATAAATACTACTATAGAGTATTCTATATTCTATCAATCTATATATGGATAGATTTGATAAATTTGTCTAAATATTATTATATATTAATATTAATTGTAGAAAATAATAGGGAAAATTTTCATACATAATTATGCAGTAAAAGTACTGCCTACATAGAAATATTACATTAAAGACTATTCCTTGATTCACGGAATAATAAAAGGAAACAAATAAAAAACAATAATAACAAAGATCTTATTTTTAAAACAGAATAAATTAAAGCCTTATTTCTTCTAATAACTAAATCTACAGTATTTTAATTCCTATAACACCCCCCCTCCCCTTTCAAGTTGATGCATAGATGTCTATCATACCCAACTTGCTTATCAAACATTCAAAAATGGATCTTGCTCGACTCTTGGTCAAGATGTTAGCTGTTTGTTGATTGGAAGGCCCAAATGGCAAGCAAATTATTCTAGCATCCAATGTTTCCTTTATAAAGTGACGATCAACCTCAATATGCTTTGTCTTATCTTGCTAAATAGGAATGTGAGCTATGCTTATTGCAGTCTTGCTGTCATAGTATAGCTTCAATGGTAGTTCAACTGTCATCTTCAGTTCTTCAAGGACTCTATAAATCCATAGACCTTCACAAATTCCTTGGGCCATTGCTCTAAATTTCGCTTCTACCCTGCTTCTACTAACAACTCCTTGTTTCTTGCTTCTTCAAGTTACCAAATTTCCCCACACAGGTGCAATACCTTGAGGTAGATTTTTTGTGAGTAACAGACCCGACCCAATCTGCATCAGTGAAAACAACATTCTTTTCACTGTGGTTTTTGAAAAATAGACCTTTACCTTAGTTGCTTTTTAAGTTCCTCAAAATTTAATAGACTGCCTCAAGGTGTTCTTCATAAAAAGAGTGCATAACCTGATTTTACAACACTCAGAGAAAAAGCAATGTCAAGTCGGGTATGAGATAGGTAAATTAGTTTTCCAACCAACCTTTGGTATCTTCCAACATCAATGGGAACACTTCCTTTTTTCCAAAGTTTCACATTGGGATCTATGGGAGTATCTACTAGTCTACAACCACTCATTCATGTTTCCTCCAAGAGGTTCCAAATGCATTTCCATTTGGAAACAAGAATTCCCTTTTTGAGCGAGCAATCTACATGCCAAGAAAGTATCTCAAAGGTCCCAAGTCCTTGATCTCGAATTCTACTACCAAGCTCTTTTTCAACCTCTCTAATTTTACTTCATCATTTCCGGTGAGGATGATGTCGTCAACATAGACTATTAGTGCAACAACTTTTCCTTTAGAGGAAAATTTTGTAAATAAGGTGTAATCTGCTTGCCCTTGTCTTTTCCTTTAGAGTATCCTTGTCTTTTTACTGATTGAGTGAGCCTTTCAAACCATGCCCTTGGAGATTGTTTAAGTCCACATAGAGACATTTTTAGTTTACATACCTTTGACCCAAATTTGTCTTTGAAACCAGGAGGACTGTCCCTATATACCTCTTCCTCCAAGTTGTTGTTGAGGAAGGCATTTTTAACATCTAATTGATGCAATGACCAATCTAAGTTGGCTTCAAGAGATAAGATAATTCTAACAATGTTCAAATTTGCAACTGGGGAAAAGGTCTCTAAGTAGTCTATACCATAGGTCTGAGTGAATCCCTTAGCCACTAGTTGTGCCTTGTATCCTTCCACCGAACCATCATAATTTCATTTCATAGTGAAAACCCATTTATAGCCCACAGTTTCTTCCCAGCTAGTAATGGCACAATACTCCCAAGTATGATTCATCTCAAAGGCTTTCATCTCCTCAAAACCAGTGTCCATCCACTTTGGAACCTTTAGAGCTTCCTATACATTGTTTGGAATAACTACACTAGACAATTGAGGTAAATGCAACAAAGGATGAAGATAAATTTGAGTATGACTCAAATTTGGATAGGGGATGCTTAGTACAAGATCTAACACCTTTGTGAAGGGATAGGCATATTTATTTTGGAAGACTCGATTTGATTATTGGATTTAGGAGATTTACATGTACCAAGCTCATTGATTAAATTCTCCCTCAGTCTAGACTCATGGCAATGTTGGAGAGTTTGTCCATCTTCAATTTCCACATTTTTCTTTCTCATATAAACCTTTCCTTTCCAAATTCAGCCACAATTGTTTAACTCATTTCCTGTTTCTTTACAAGAATTATCATGTTGTTGCATTTAGGCTAGTTCTTCTTTATTTTCGATATTAGAGGGTTGTTTAGAACAATTTTGCTTTGAAGATGTAGCGCTAGATTCGTTGAGAACCTCAATCATTATGAGAGTAGGTTTAGAAAATGAATCTTGGCAATTTTGTTTTGGGGCATCGGTGCAAGTCTCAAAATTTTGTGAAATAAGCATGTCATTTGAAAGATTTATAGTTTCAAAATAATCTTCCTTTGAAGTCCCCCTGGAGATAAATGTCATGAAAACAAGATTGGTTTTCGAAGAAGGTGACATCCATAGTTACAAAATATCTTTTTGATTTTGGATCAAAACACTTGTATCCTTTTTGGGTGGGAGAGAAACCAATGAAAAAACATTTTATAGCACATGGGTCAAGTTTTCCAATTTCTTATGTTCATGAACTATTGGAAAAAACCCAAGTCCCACATCGACTAGAGATTAGGCAATTGAATAATATATAAGTGGAAAGCAACCCTCACCTTACAAGCCGGTTTTGTAGGGTTTAATCCACTATTCTAACATGGTATCAGAGCTTAGGTCTATTCTTTTAGATTTTTTTTTTCTCTTCTTGCAGGGGCATTCACCGGCTGCCCACCACCGCCGGCC